CCAATTAACACCTAAACACTAATCAATCCCAATTAACACCCATTAACCCCGCTTAACGTCCCCCAATTCCCGCTTACTGCCCCACGTACTCCCAATTAACCCTTAATTACCCCCGAATTAGCTATCAATTAGCTAATAAGCCTAATAAACACTAATTAACACCCATTAACCCCGCTTAACGTGCTCTATTCCCACTTATAGCCCCATGTCCGCTCAATTAACCCTTAATTACCCCCTAATTAGCCAGTCAGTTACCTAGCTAAAACCCTAATAAGCACTGATCAATCCCCAATTAACACCTAAACACTAATCAATCCCAATTAACACCCATTAACCCCGCTTAACGTCCCCCAATTCCCACTTACTGCCCCACGTACTCCCAATTAACCCTTAATTACCCCCTAATTAGCTATCAATTAGCTTCCTCATAACCCTAATAAACACTAATCAATCCCCAATTAACACCTAAGCACTAATCAATCCTAATTAACACCCATTAACGTGCCCTATTCCTACTTACTACCCCACCTACCCTCAATTAACCCTTAATAACCCCCTAATTAGCCATCAATTAGCTTCCTAATAACCCTAATAAACACTAATCAATCCCCAATTAACATCTATACACTAATCAATCCCAATTAACACCCATTAACTCCGCTTAACCTGCCCTATTCCCAACTACAGACCCACGTGCCCCCAATTAACCCTTAATCACCCCCTAATTAACCATCAATTAGCTCCCTAATAACCACATAAACACTAATTAAACCCCTCTTACCATGCCCTATCCCCACCTACAACCCCACGTACCTCCAATTAACCCCCAATTAACCCTCAATTACCCCCTACCGGCCTCAACCAACCCTAATGAGCGCTAACGAGCGCGCTAATTAATTAATCACCTGTCCAGGTGCCTCCTGGCTCTCTGCACTTCCGGCCCCATTTCCGGCCCCACGCAGAAACGCAGCCGCTGGGGGCGGGGCACCGGCACCAAGGGGGCGTGGCCAGGGGCGGAGCTTCGGCTGTAGGGGCGGAGTCAGCGTCGATGTGGCCATGCCCACCGCACCCAAGCCCCGCCCCCTCCATTATCCCCATAGGGATTAAGGGGCTCCATTGGGGCTGCATAGGGGGGCGGGGTCAATGACAAAGTGGCCACGCCCACCGCAGCCAAGCCCCGCCCCCTCCTGTATCCCCATAGGGATTAAGGGGCTCCATTGGGACTGCATAGGAGGGCGGGGTCAGCACCGAGGTGGCCACGCCCACCGCCCCCAAGCCCCGCCCCTTTCTTTAGCCCCATAGGGATTAAGGGGCGCAATTGGGGCTGCATAGGGGGGCGGGGTCAATGCCGACATGGCCACGCCCACCGCAGCCAAGCCCCGCCCCCTTCTTTAGCCCCATAGGGATTAAGGGGCTCCATAGGGACTGCATAGCAACGCTATAGGGGCTCCATTGGGACTGCATAGGAACTCGAGGGGGGCGGGGTCAGTGCCGACGTGGCCACGCCCACCGCATCCAAGCCCCGCCCCCTTCTTTATCCCCATAGGGATTAAAGGGCTCCATTGGGACTGCATAGAGGGGCGGGGTCAGCGCCGGTGTGGCCACGCCCACCGCCCCCAAGCCCCGCCCCCTTCTTTATCCCCATAGAGATTATGGGGCTCCATTGGGACTGCATAGGAACTCAAGGGGGGCGGGGTCAATGCCGACGTGGCCACGCCCACAGCAGCTAAGCCCCGCCCCCTTCTTTAGCCCCATCGGGATTAAGGGGCTCCATTGGACTGCATAGGGGGGCGGGGTCAATGCCGACGTGGCCACGCCCACCGCAGCCAAGCCCCGCCCCCTCCTTTATCCCCATAGGGATTATGGGGGTCCATTGGGACTGCATAGGAATTCTATAGGGATGCTATAGGGGCTCCATAGGGACTGCATAGGAACGCGAGGGGGGGGGGGTCAGTGCCGACGTGGCCACGCCCACCGCAGCCAAGCCCCGCCCCCTTCTTTATTCCCATACTGGTTATGAAGAATCTATAGGAACTCTATGAACAATCTATAGAGACTCTATAGAGAATCTATAGGAACACTATAAAAAGTCCATAGAAACTCTATAGAGAATCTATAGGAACACTACAAAGAATCCATAGAAACTCTATAGAGAATCTATAGGAACACTATAAAGAATCCATAGGAACTGCATAGAGAATCTATAAGGACACTATAGAGGATCCATAGGAACTCTATAGAAAATCTGTAGGAACACTGTAAAAAATCCAGAAACTCTATAAAGAACCTATAGGAACACTACAAAGAATCCATAGAGATTCTATACAGAATCTATAGGGACGCTATAAAGAATCCATAGAGACTCTATACAGAATCTACAGGAACACTACAAAGAATCCATAGAGACTCTATACAGAATCTATAGGGACGCTATAAAGAATCCATAGAGACTCTATAGAGAATCTATAGGAACACCATAAAAATTCCATAGAGACTCTACAAAGAATCCATAGGAACACTACAAAGAATCCATACGAACACCAGAAAGAACCCATAGGAACTCTATAGAGAATCTATAGGAACGCTATAAAGAATCCATAGAGACTCTATAGAGAATCCATAGGGACATTCTGTGGATTCTATAGGGACTCCATAGTGCTTCTATAGGGATTCCATAGGGACTCTACGGAGAATCCATAGGGACTCTATAGAGAATCAATAAGGACACTATAAAGAATCTATAGGAACGCTATAAAGAATCCATAGAGACTCTATAGAGAATCTATAGGAACGCTATAAAAAATCCATACGAACTCTATAGAGAATCTATAGGAACACTATAAAGAATCCATAGGAATTCTATAGAGAATCCATAGGAACACTACAGAGAATCTATAGAGACCCTATAAAGAATCTATAGGAACGCTATAAAGAATCCATAGGGACTCTATAGAGAATCTGTAGAAACACTACAAAGAATCTATAGAGACTCTATAGAACATCTATAGGAACGCTACAAAGAATCCATAGAGACTCTATAGAGAATCTATAGGAACACCATAAAAATTCCATAGGGACTCTATAGAGAATCTATAGGAACGCTATAAAGAATCCATAGAGACTCTATAGAGAATCCATAGGGACATTCTGTGGATTCTATAGGGACTCCATAGTGCTTCTATAGGGATTCCATAGGGACTCTACGGAGAATCCATAGGGACTCTATAGAGAATCTATAAGGACACTATAAAGAATCTATAGGAACGCTATAAAGAATCCATAGAGACTCTATAAAGAATCTATAGGAATGCTATAAAAAATCCATACGAGCTCTATAGAGAATCTATAGGAACACTATAAAGAATCCATAGGAATTCTATAGAGAATCCATAGGAACACTATAGAGAATCTATAGAAACACTATAAAGAATCTATAGAAACACTATAAAGAACCCATAGGGACTCTATAGAGAATCTATAGGAACGCTACAAATAATCCATAGGGATTCTATAGAGAATCTATACGAATCCTACAGAGAATCCATAGGAACTCTATAGAGAATCTATAGGGACGCTATAA